TGTTTTATCGTGATAGTATTCTTCCAGCATCTCTTTCATTACTAATTACACAATCAACTCTTCGCAAGTTTCAACTGCAGATTCCCTATAAAATAAATCAAATATCATGGCCTAGTCAATGTGCACTAAAGTATCTTACTATTAGTTGTTGTACATTGAATCAATATTGTATTATTCTTCATAATTCACCTTTATTAAAAACAGTCGTACTCACAGACTGCGATTTTCTAATGGATTACAATACAAAAATGTCTTTGTCAATTTTTGCGTTACTCTCATTTGAACAAGTAACATCTTTGACACTCAAAAAAATAGATACCCTGAAAGTGAACGAACTCGAATTATGTCTTGCATTAACGCCCTCGTTGGTTTATCTTCAAGTAACAAGCGAGAAAAAATTATTCAACGAATTTCAATGGAAACAATTCATCGAAGTCAAACTTCCTTTCTTAGAAAAATTTCAATTTTACTTCAGTTGTCATCAGTACTTGTTCGGTCCATCTGTTGATCTTGTATCAATAATTATTTCATTTAAAACACCGTTCTGGCTTAACAAAGGTTGGTTTGTTACTGGTGATTACATCAGTAAATTACGCTTGATTAGGATCTATTCGATACCAATCTGTGTATCGGATTTTTACTACGTACCAGTGTTGGAAAAAATCTCATATTCTACACATTACAATATGAACAATGATATAGCAACGATGGACAATGTGCATGCATTAGTCTCAGACTTGGCAATAGAGAGTGCTTCTATTGTTCCAATAAAGGTATCTTTCAAATACAATAGAATTTCTTCTCAAAAACAACAGTTATTTCAATTCATATAACTCATTTCTCGATCTTATAGTTATGGATCAAGTCAAAATATTTTCTTTTACCGATGTATAGAATCAGTTTTAGTCTTAAGATCGAGATCAGAGCTAATAGCATTCGTTGACTAAAGTATATCGATAATCTATGTTTTTATTTTTCTAGGAAAAATTGCTCGATCGTCATGTATTTCGCAATGTTACTCAATTTGAAGTTCGAATGAACAATAGATCATTCATTGACTCTTTTCATTATTTGTCGTCACTTATTGATTTTTCACATGTCGTAACAGTTAAGCTGAATATTATTTCGAACATTCGAACAAGCGCTATAGATTTTGGTCAACAGTCAGATCATCTTCTACTATTCGGAAGAAGCAATCATGCTGACAACAGCGAATGCGACATCAATATTGAACAAGTGTGTTCAATGATACCTCGCCATATCAAACAGTTGGATGTGACAGTAAAAAATGTTGATGAAATGATCACGGTTCTTACACGATTTAATCAGTTGTACACTATCGTATTTCGATTCGCACAATATTTTCCAGATCATCCTCAAGAAATTATTGCATGGCTACAAAATAAGTCAATAGATTTCACGTATCATTATGAATATAGTTATCTGTCTATATGGCTCGGCAAAACGATGACTCATCATCACTCGCTAACAATGTCACCACCTCACAAACGTGCGAAGATACTTCATCGTTACGATTATTTTTCATAATTTTGAAATAAAAATTCTATGATAATAGTTGTCAAAAGAAACAAAGAAAACTAGCCACGATTAGAAAAGTCATAATTGACGCAAAACTCACTAGAACAAATATGTTCTATGTGATACAATCATATGTCATTCTAACATTTAATTTTTGATAGAAAGTAAATCTCCAGTGATATATTAAAGTTATGTTCATGAGAAAATATCAATTGTAGTGACAAAGCTTTGAAGCGAAATATCTATAATGATGAATGGATCTTTTTGCAACAAGTATTATGTCGATAAGCCTAAGTTTGAAAAAACCTTTACTATTGACTCATTTATTGGGATAAGTTGCCAGATATGAAATATTTCAATATAGCAACCACAATCGACAAAATAGCAATCATTGCATCTATTGCTTTCCAATCTACTGACTGCATTTCGCATTCATTCATTTGGGAATATTTTGCATGCCATTCTATTCATGAATTTGCGTAAAATTCTCGTAGTGAATGAATACAGTGTGATCGAAGTCGTCTCTTTTAAAGCTATCGATCTTTTACAAAGCCCAATAGTCTCAGTATAAACATTGTCAATGGAAAATAGAAATCTTTAAGGCGTTGCCATATGGACCATGGATCATCATAGGGATTATGATGATCATGAGTTTGTGCCACAAATAACCAATAATTGATAAAATACATCAAGCAGAAGATAAGAACAAGGACTGATGTCGTTTTAATATCTCGTTTAGTATTAGCGTGGAGCAAAGAAATGTTTGACGAAACTATACTAAAACGGCATCAAGTGCATAAACCATATTGAATCGGTATAGTAAGGGCAATGCTTGTTATTTTTATAATTAATAAAGAATAATAAATGAAAAAAGAATCCTATTCCAACATTTGTGCAAAAACATCAAACAAAAAAATCGATCGAGATATATCTTCAACTGCTTGATGATATAACCATTAATCCCTCTTACAATAAGAATGATATCAAATAAAAGGCTGCCAACATGTACAATGCTAAAACTGATAAAATCCATGTTGCCACATATCGAAAAAGCCAACCAGGACCTATGGGTTCTGTGGTATAGATGTTATCATTTGGTGATTGAAACGAAGAAACGGAGACGACTAATTGAAATGACAACATATCCTCGTGGTAAATAATATGAAGTAAATGGAGCCATATAGGATAAGTTTGATGCAATCTCACCATTCAAATATTATTATTCCACAAGGATGATTTTTTACATGCAAAACATAAGTAGATATATTTGATAGAATCTAAATAGAAAAATTTATCCAGTAAAAGACCGTGTTTTTTAACATATTTCTTTTCATATGCAAGAATAATCACTGTTTTTAGTAGAAATTCAACTGTCCTAAGAAAATATTCTCTTTTTGACAGCAAATTCTATTACATAATTAACTATGGATATGAAAAATATATCAAAATAACAAAGAAATATTTTCCCAGTGTATCTAAAAACTCCATTAAAGTCGTTGTTCTAAAGGATCTTTTTTTTTAAATTTATAGATGATGCTTGCAAATAAGTAATTTCTTACGTTCTTTCGTGCTCTTCGGCCAGTCCTTTATTGAAAGAATATTTACACATACACTTGATACAAAGTAAGCAAATAAAAAACAACGTTCAACGAACTCTTCATTTCGACTGAGAAGCAGTAAAATGTAAAAAATAATTAACATAATGTCTTTTTTATTATAAGGCAAACCAAATTTGATTAACGTTCACTGATGAAAACATGTGAAGAATAGAACAAAGATAATGTGCGTTGCATCGTCTCCAGCTAAAAAGTCTAGCAAACCATTAATAATAAAACGGGCTGACAAGAGAAAGTTTTGCTTCGATTGTGGTTGTAGATATTTAAATTTCTTTGTAGTCTTGATCGATTTTGAAGAATAGTTAGGATGCATCAGTTGCAAAAAGGTCATCAAAGCAGTTCGCTGCTGCTTTCAAACATTACTACGACTTCCGTAGCTATTTGTTGACGATGGTTGAGACTGAGAAGGCGTAAGATGCACACTCCTTTCATCATCCTCATCGTCAGACTCATCATCACTAAATTCAATGTCGTCTAGCCACTTGAATGTCTTTTTATGACGTTCTATTTGTGCCTAGATTCAAATGATCAGATTTTCTGCAAGCAACATTTTACTCATTTGATCAGCCATACGTCCAACAGATTTTCGACATCCATCGCAGAAAAGTTGTGCATATGAATGGCGGAACTGAAACCGATGGAAGATGGTTACTGCTTGTGCTGCGTTAATGTATCGAACAGCTGCAGCCGAGGATGGCTTTTTGAAACATGGAACACGCAATGAACAATTCTTTTTCTGTGTTGAAATTCGGAATTCTCGCATCAACTCTTCTTTGTATTTATTGCACACAGACGATTGACGGGGATTAAAAGGATCCTGAAAAAACATATCGGCGAGCAACAACAGCACTTCGATTGCATCTCGTGCTCCTGGAAACTGCTTCAGAGAGCTTTTGATTTGTCAAAGGTCGTAGAGTCGCCGCGAAGAATCGTGACTGCAGGGACTCAACGCTTGAAACATACATGGTAACGTGGGCATGGTCATAAAAAAATACAACGATTATGTGATGCTCTTGTTCTTTAGTTTCACACAAAGTATGTATTGCTTTCGTTCTTTAATTTTAGACAAAATATGCGCTGCCGTCCTGTTCTTTCATCATTCTTCGCCATTGTATCGTTCTCATTGGTTTTGCTCATTTATGGCCCTCCTCGCCGGCATTTATACTATATATGTGATTGGATAAAATAGGCTTATCAAGTATTTCAAAAGGTGTATCTTCGATCATGTATAACGTGTTTATCTTTCTTTATAAGCGACAATAGAAAAAGAAGACTATGCTACGTAAAGCAAATGACTTAAGTATAGGAGTCAATAAAAAATTATTCTTTCATGACTCAATTTGAAAAGCTATGTTACTGCCTGATCAACTTGAAGCACATATAATGCAATATCTAATATGATTTTGAACTCAATAGGACGGCGCAAAGTCCAAAAGACCTCTGAGCATGAAATATAATTTCATGTGTCACCAAACTGATTTATTACTTGCAGCAGCATTTCTTCGTTTTACATATAAAAAGATGATTCTATTCAGATATAGAAGGATGTATTATTATTATTATTATTAGATAGACCCTTACCTTGCAGTATCGGGTGAAGATCAAAAGTACAATAAACAAATAAAAGGGAAGAAGATAAGAGGAAAGAAAGATAGAATAGTCTTTGAGTAAAAAAAAAAGTGTCCATTCATTCGTTCGGTGAGCTTTTTGTTTGATCGTCGTAGAGTTCGATCATCATGGCTGTTCATCCGAGTCCTACCTCCAAACCTTGAAGGATTGGTTTCGATAGTACTCATCATTGTGCACATGATGATTGACACGCAGCGTTTTCGACAAGCGAGAGTGTTATCGCGGTTGAATTCCATTTTGCTTGCACCATTCCATCGCGCATGATCTTACATGATTGGTGATTCCTTGTGGTCTGTAAGATTTCTTGCATCTCGGGCAATTATAGTTGTTGTTAACAGTTCGAGTAAGTATTTCTGTGACTTTACGTGGAGATCCGTTTCTGGCTAATGTTCTTCGATCCTGAGCACGTTGTTTGAAATGTTGAACCGTTTCTGTAATACTTGTCGATGGTGGCTTGACTTGTGCATTCTTGTTTATAGTTTCTCGCCACTTGTCGCGATCGAGAGTCACTTTTCGCCAATTCCGAATTTGACATTGATCAAGATCATCGAGTATCTTATCTTCCCATCTCTTTCGTACACAAGAATTCCGAGGACGCTTACAATATGGAAAGTATGAAAACATTGTTTTCTTTACAATTGATGGTCCATTGTATACATTACTCATTCGATTTGCGTGTCCAAACCATCGTAGCCGATTCCTTCTGAGAATGTCGTTGAGATATGGCTGACCTGTCAGTTGCAGTAGTTTGTCATTTGACATGCGATCACCTAGATTGATACCGATGATTGTTCTAAGGCACTTGAAGTAAAATGTGTTGAGTCGTCGCTCTTGTGCCACAGTTGTTGACCATACTTCACTACCATAGAGAAGAAATGGAAGAACACAAGCGCGGTAGAATTGTAACTTTGCTTGGATGGAGATTGTTTTCCGATACCAAATGACGTGGCGAAGCATATTGAAAGCACTTGATGCTTTTGAAAGACGCGTTTCGATTTCTTTTTCCGATGTCTGATCGCGGGTTACGTAACAGCCAAGATAGGAGAATTGATCGACGATTTCGATTGTTTGATTCCGAATGTTGATATGCATGTTGGGTGCTGTGACTTCTTGATTCTTTATTATCCTTCGTGTTGAGTCTTCTTGAAGTTGTTTGAGAGACATGATGCATGTTTTCTTGCCACTCATAGTCAGACCTAGTTCTTGAGTAATTTGTTCGAACGTTTGGATGAAAATTTCGAGGTCATGGGCGTTGTCACACATTGCAACCAAGTCATCAGCATACATTAGAGCCAACAGGTGAAAATCTTCATAGTTGTCTCGATCAGTGTGAAGGAAATCGTTGCTACCAAAGGCCAATTTGATGCCAGTCACGCCCATCTCATTCACTTTACCGATGACACGACGCATAATGAAATCAAACAAGATATTGAAGAGAATGCATGAAGTGATGCCACCTTGCAACACGCCAGTTTCGATGTCGAAACTGTCTGATAAATCACCGTTGATTCTGACTTGCGCTGTTGTATTCTTGTAAAGAAGCTGGAGCATACGAACTATTTTGCTTGTGAGGCCGTAGTGCTTGCATATTTGCCATAGGAGATCGCGGTTGACAGAATCGTAAGCTTTTTGTATATCAATGAAGCACATAAAAAGTGGTTTGTTGTAGTCGCGTGATTTCTCCATAACCATTTTGAGTATGAATATTTGATCGATGGTCGAGCGATTGGTGCGGAAGCCAGCTTGCTCTTCAAGAAGTTGTTTGTCAAGAAGGTTTTGCACACGATTGAGAATGATTCTGGAGAACACTTTACTTGCTACCACAAGTAGTGATATGCCTCTGTAGTTATCGCATATGCGCTTGTCTCCTTTGTTCTTGTAGAGTCGAATGAGAATTGCTGTTGTCCAGTCGTCCACGATCTGTTCCTCTTTCCAAATGTCGACAAAAATCTCATGAAGCCATTTAACCATAGGAGGACCACCGGCCTTGAGTACGTCGGCAGAGATGTTGTCATTACCTGGTGCCTTGCCATTTTTCATACGCTTAATTGCTTGCTGCACCTCAGCAAGAGAAGGAGATTTATCTTGACGAAGCTGTTCCGTTTGTGAGATGGTTGGTATTGTTATTTGGTTCAAGATAGATGGATTGACATTGGATGGTACGTTGAGTAAGTCGTTAAAGTATTCTTTCCAACGACCTAGCCTTTCTTGCGAATTCAAGAGGAGGTGACCTTGCTTGTTTTGTATGGGAATATTTTCAATATTGGCACGCCCACCTCTCAGTCGTCTGATCATTGCGTAAGCAGTTGTTGGATCATGCTGTTTAATGGCCGTTTCAATTTCCATACTGATTTCGTCCCAGTATTCGACTTTCCTTGCTTCGATCATCTTTTTTGCCCTGGATCGCAGTAGATTGTATTTGCTTCGGTATTGACGTTCAATATTTGTACCACGATGGTGTTGCCAGTCGAGAAAGGCTCGCGCTTTCTTGTCGATCGTTTCCATTATTTCGTTGGTGAGCCATTCTCTTTGTTTTTTGCCGTTGTTGTCACATTGGAAGATTTTCATACTGGCATCATTGACATAATGAACGAATTCAGAATACTTTTGGTTGATGGTGACATTTGTCGAGTCTGATGGTGCCGGCCTGTTCATGAGTTCGGTTTGAAAAGATTTGATAAATTCTTCATTTTTTAGCTTCTTTCGATCGAGACGGGCGAACTGTTGCCTTGACTGTTTTTTTCTGCTTTTTAAGTGGAATTTGAGTTTTGTTCGAAGAAGATGATGATCCGTTCCAATTGCACCTGCGGCTGTCCGATGTACCCGAGCATCTTCAACACTTGATCGGAATTTACGGTTGACAAGAGTATAATCAAGCATGTGCCATTTTTTATTTCCAGGATGCATCCAGGTCATTTGATGTACTCCTTTGTGTTGAAAGAAGGTATTTGAAATGATGAGTTTATTTGCTGCACAGAAGTCAACCAGCCGTTTGCCATTCTCATTAATGTGGTCGACTGCATGTGGACCAACCACATTGTCACTTGTTTGGTGTTGTTGCTTGCCAACTCTTGCATTGAAGTCCCCCATAATCAATAGAAGGTCACTTGGTGGAGTTTTGTTGACGGCTCGTTGTAAATCAGCGTAGAAGCGATCAGATGCATTAATAGCCATTTGTTGACCATTTGGATTGACTGGAGAATAGATGGCGAGTAGCGTGACGTTGACAGGTGCACAGTGCAATCGTACCATGAGGATTCGCTCGTTGATCGGCTCCCAAACAGCACCGAGATTTTTCCATGCTGCCGTCGCTTGCTTGCTTAAACATATGGCTACGCCATGCGCTGATCTTGTTTTGTTTATGCTGGGAGCGCCTGAATAAATCATTGTGTAGTCGCCAATGGTTGAAATTCCTGAGTCATACATTGCTGTTTCACTCAAAGCAGCCACTTGAATACGATGTTTTTGTAGTTGTTTGATGATGAGGTGTTTCTTCGCTTGTTGAAAACACGATCGAACATTCCACCCACCGAAGAAAGTTGTTTTACGTGCGTTAATGCACTGTTCTTGATCTTTTTCGTTAGCCAGTGAAGTTTTAAGTCCCACTAATAGGTGGCTAGCCTAAAAGCAGGACAGATTGGCTACCAGCAGCCCAGGGGCGCCTCCTACCACTGGAAGCAGCAGTAGGACCCTGTGAATGTCACAGACATCCCTGGCAGGCCATAGAAGGATGTAATACATATTATGGGTAGTCCTTTTATCTAAATTTGATATTAAACATTAAGTTTTAACTTAACACTGAATATTAATAAAAAAAGTTTAACAGTCGCCACTTAATTTCTTAATATTAAGTGTTAAGTTTCCACTTAATTCTTATATGTAATGCACGATCCAAATTTCTGGGACGAACTAACCTTGAGAGGTTATTTCTCAAAATACTGATTTTTTGCTTGATGATCACGTTTCACCACATTTCAATATTTTGATGGGAAGTCTTATCTGAATATTTGTTTTAATTCTGTCGTATATCTAATTTGGTAGAGCGTTCGATGCGCTATCGGATGGTGTACAATTGTTGGGAAATAGATTATATTTTGATGGAAATATGAGGATCGAGCTTAAAACAAAGAAAAAGAGTACTGATTTTAACTGAATCACGGAGTACTCGTCAGTATGGTACTCATAACTTTTTTGTTATATGATCAATCGAGTTAATATTTTGGATTTATTGATTTCACCTCATGGACTGTCGATTCCACAAATAAAATGAGGGGATAAAAATTTTCGGGAGTATAGGGTTCCTCGACCCTATGGTGAACCCTCTCTTAATCATGATAAATACAGTAACCGTAACTTTTCAGATCATAAATTTAGTCTATTTTGCCAAAAATTTTTATTTCACTCAACTGCCTACATATATGTTCATAAAGATAATGTTAATCTACAATCAGGAATCGAGACTTTTGGATTGCCCATTAGCTTCTCATCCCTCTTCAAGCTCAATAACTAATAAAATTCCAAAGTTTTGTTTGATACTTCGTGCATTCTATATATCAGCGATGGCAAGGACGGCAATTTTGGTTTTCAAGGACAACCCAAAAATGCTTGAATTAGGAGAGAATATCATTGTCCGCTAATGAAATACTAAGTTTCAATGAATCTCATCGATTAGTAACAACAGTTCTAGTCTACAGTAAGCTCAACTGTAAATTTTTGAAAACATTTTTCTAACAAATATCAAGGTAGGGTCGTTCTACAGTTTTTTTTAGGTGTTACACGTCAACGCTTTTTTCAATCATCGTGTGCGTTAACTTTTTTCTTCTATAATCACGGCATGGCAGTCGCAAGTTTTCAATCGTGATGAATATCTTTATTATATATTTCATCTTAAATATACGTGTATTCTTACCTATTGTTACTGAATATATACGCGAAATTGTGTTAACAGTCGATGAATTTCGAATTTCGGTCTAAGTTTAATATTGAAACATTAACAAAATCACATGGAAATTAATTTGAAAAGAGAAAATAAATGCATCATGACCAATTTTTCATCTTTATTGAAATCGTCTTGAATAAAACAAATTTCAAAATCATAAGTTATATGGACGTATATCTATGTTATTTACTCTTCAATTTTTAATTTCTTTTTCAAATATAAATCTTTTAGCTAATTCGCTTTGAAAGACTCATATTTATATGCTATGAAGCTCGAATACACTTGTAAATGAGTATGAGTATCGTCGTGTACTATTTTGTTGATTTGATTGAAAAACTTGTACCTTATTTCTTTTCTTATCTGGCGAAGATCGATCTCATATTCAGTATTTCAAAACTAATACATCATCATTTGATAGTAAAAGAGAAATCACAATTGAATAGTAAAACTCTTTATAAAAACATCATGCACATATATAGCTAATCTTTACAACGAAAGAGTATGATCGACTATTCACGAATCAATCAAAAGAGAATATTACATCAATGTGCTACAAAAAGAAAGAAAAAATAATAATTTTAACGATTTTATATAAATCTGAAAAGAACAATAAATGATAAAGATAATATATGAAGAGGAACTATCTTTAGCTTTAGAAATTGAAACATTGCTTGTCACACATATCAGATGTATTCTATTCGTATGGATTTCTTTGTTTTTTTGGTTTTTACTCCCAGCAGTATCCAAGAACTGAGAAATAGAAATTTCTAAACTGTAGAAGAATTATCAACATTGTTATGATAATTTCTCGGAGAACCGACAACGCATCATCAGTTCCTTCATTCAAGAAAGTCAAACTAATCCTTTCTTTGAAATAATTTTGGTACTCACGCATTTATGTTCACAAATTTCTGGATTAAAACGGGTCTAAGAGTGAAAAAAATCGTGGATATTGTATTTATTTTAATTTTAGTATTCGTGGATCAATGGAGGAACTGAAGAGAAATTCCTATTCCTTAATTCTTGGATGCGTCTCTTTATTTCGGGATATTCTAAATTGTTCTCCTCTCTTTCACTGCTCATATACAGGATGTTTCAAGGGCCACCTAACAGAAAACAAAGTTTGCATATCTTCACTGTATTTCAAACATATGAGTTGATTATTTCAGGCTTTTCGTCATAAATCAACAGCTTTTCGATAAACTTGAAATTTTAGTGTAGTCTACTTCAATACAAAATTTAGTCTTTTTTCAGGTACTTAACCTCTATTAGTTAGCTATAAAACCATGAAATGTATTCAAAATCTTTTTGTTGTATTTCATTTTGTAGAGCATTTTTCTGCTGATCGTTTTCATTGAAAGTCTTCTATTTTCACTAACAAATGATGGTGCTACGGTTGATGCGCTGAAAAACATCGAATTACAATAGTCATCCAGAGCAATTCGATGTTCCAGTATTTTGGCTCCAACATCGTTGTTTGTTGGTGGACACTGAAAGCAATTTTGTAGTGAAAATAATCAACAAACAAAGCTCTATAAAATGGGATATGTTATAAAGATTTTTGGTGCATTTTATTTTGTTATAGTTGGCTACTCATGGAAGTCCTCTACTAAAAATTATCTATAATTGGATATATTTTCTTAAAAGCAGATTATGCCAGGGCATTCGAAAAGATACTCTGAAGCTTCGTAGAAGTGAGATAGAAGAAAGTTGAGGAAAAAGAATTAGAATTATATGAAAGAAAACCGAAATCTATTGTTTATCTTTACCAAGAACGTAATGTTTTTCTCTTGCAAGTATATAATAATACTTTTAAGCTATGTTATTAACTTTGTTTCTTAATAATAAAAACATGGAACTATCCTCTATCATCAGAAATAAAATTAGCTCATTAGGTCAAAATATTGTTAACAAATAAAAATTTTGCTTTGATAGGTAACTTTGAATACGAATATATCATTACACATTTCATGAATTATTATCATACTGTTAAATATGTCAAAGATTTATTCTTAAACATCATGTAATCATTTTTATTAAAAACTTTCGATAAGTAACTTTATCCAATAGTTGTTAAATTTATTAACTCAATTAAAAGGAAATAAGTAATAATTATGACAATCAAATATTTACATTGTATTAATCAAAATTATAAGGACAATATTGTACAGTATTTCAGTTTTATTCTACAAATCTTTGGTAATTATTATCTATTACTAGATCTGATCAATTAACATTATGAGGCGAAATATCATTGGAAGACTATTTTTATTTCTGTTAATGAATCCGACGTATAGCTTATCAGACACAACATTGAAAGAAACTCTCTAAAAAAAAGTGAGACTATGCGCATTGCTGTTTTTTTTTTATTCTATTGATCTACATTTCCCTCTCTTATCACTCGCCGATTGGATTAGTATTTCTATGTGCTCATCTTAGGTTATGGATGTTTTTCCATAAATTAATCGACAAAGAAAATATTATTCATGCTGATATGGTACGAATAAAATCTAGACAACCACGAAAACCAATCAACATTTTTGAAAACGATTATTAAATCTCACTTTAAATTCTCACTACGATATTTTAACTGAAATTGAGTTTAATTGGGCATAATATTCATTTGGAATTTTTATTTTTCAATGATGGCTGGTAGAATACAAATATATTTTCACTATTTACTCATGAGACCACATTTACGTAATGATTTTATTTCTCTTAGTGCTCAACTTTTACCCCTTCTCAGGGAACGGTCTTGTATTTAATGTTTTACTATTTGCAACGAACGAAGCAGTACTGTCATGATCGATTCGTGACCAGATCCACAGAGTGATTGCATGGTGAAGTAGTGCAGCTGTTGACTGCATTGTTGTATATTTTTCTGCTTAAGTAGAAGTTGAAACAAATCCATTGAAATGTGTAAAAATATATTGTGAGCCTTCTCCAGATTCAAGTTTAAGCCGTATCTGCTTAGAGCACGATTTGGGCACATATTCGCTACGATTTTTCACCGAACCCTTAATCGACGTTATTGCCTCAAGTCGTCTGAATAATAAACCAGAATATTCTCGAACGATGAAAAATTCTTATCTCTTCCGTGCATTTTTGTTCGTTGCTGAGTGATTCATACTTTTCTTTCCAACGTTGCCTTCTGTTCTGGGTATGTTGCAATACGTCAACAAGTGACATAATGATTTTTTATGGCAAAGCCAAAAGATAACATTTGATTGAATCATCGTCGTGCAACTATACTATAAAAACTGTCACCTGTTGAGGTTACCTTCATTCACTTTTGCAAAGCATTCTAGTTATCTTTTCTCTATTTACAACACTCACTCATCGCATCAAATACAATGCAAATCTTCGTAAAGACATTGACAGGCAAGACTATTACTCTTGAAGTCGAACCTTCAGATACCATTGAAAATGTGAAAGCCAAGATTCAAGACAAAGAAGGCATTCCACCTGATCAACAGCGATTGATCTTTGCTGGTAAGCAGCTTGAAGATGGTCGCACCCTCAGTGACTACAACATTCAGAAGGAGAGCACACTTCACTTGGTCCTCCGTCTCCGCGGTGGTATGCAAATCTTCGTGAAAACGTTGACAGGCAAGACTATTACTCTTGAAGTCGAACCTTCAGATACCATTGAAAATGTCAAAGCAAAAATTCAGGATAAAGAAGGCATTCCACCTGATCAGCAACGTCTCATATTCGCAGGCAAGCAGCTTGAAGATGGTCGCACTCTCAGTGACTACAACATCCAGAAAGAGAGCACACTTCATCTTGTGCTCAGACTTCGTGGTGGTGCTGATCTTTGAATAACATGCAATCCGTAATCAGAACATTATTGAACAAAACTTTTTTTTGCTTCTTGCGTGTCTTCAATAAATGCCTCAACAATATTCACAAGTACACTGACTCTTTTTTTTCGTATATATTCACAATATGTTGTGTCTTGCAGTTGACGATTAAAACTGATATGCAATTGTTCACCTGAAAGAAGATAAATAGAGCTCAGTGTTCTTTGTAATAGCAAAGATACAGGAAATAAGAATGTTAAAAATAAGTAGTTCACATTTATTTTATCGTCATTGTAAATTTCGTCTACATGAATAGAACATTTTCGTTAAACCTAAAAGTAAAGAAACCTCAAAGAGCAGGGCATAATTCGTAATTTGGGCAATAATGAAAAGCGAAAACAGAAGTTGCTTGTTTTTACGATACTTCATCGCTTTTAATTACCTACATATTTGTAGTTTTGGACAACAATGTCAAAAAGTATGCCGGATTTGACTTTTTATACAATAATACGGGAAAATAATTGTTCTTATTCAAAACACAGGACATTTTTGAAGATCTTCTAATTTGAAGAAATTATACGAGGGCATGGAGCGTACTCATTTCCAGGAAATTGAAAATCCCTCCCCCCTCATCACGGGAGTAATGATCTTCCAAAACGAACACTACTATCATGGGCAACATTAAATTTGTAGATGGATTGATGCAAATAGATATTCATGTATTCAGTAAAGGTCATGTCACTCGCAGATTTCTTTCGCTTCCTTTCAAGAAATTTATTTCTACTAGAAAAAAATTTCAATATCCATTTGGACTGGGTAGGGTCGGGTGTCAGTGAGGATGCCGGCGTGGGTGTAGTGAATAGAATACTCTGTTACACATCCACACTCATGCCCAAACCCACACCCACACCCACACCCACACCCACCCACACACCCACACCCACACCAACACCCACACCCACCCACACACCCACACCCACACCCACACCCACACCAACATCCACACCCACACCCACACCCACACCCCCTAAGGTGTGAGTGTGCTTGAAGAGATGACTTGCAACAACCGAGCACGGGTAATTGTACTCACACCCACCGTGCATCAGAGTACATGGTAGTACAAACGAGTATCAATTCTCAAATTCTAGGTTTTTTTATCCAATGCATGAAAGCGCATACAAATTTGTATGTACTCTCATGTACTGACATGTACGGGATAAAAAAACTTAGAATTTATAAAATTTGCACTTTCATGTATTTCTAATACAAATACGCCAGAGTAAATGGTAGCACGTGAGAGCGCAAATTCTAAATTTCGGAGGTCATCTTTTCAACGTACAATTTGTACTTGTATTCGCGCCAGAGGTGTCCATCGCTGTCGAAAGTTCACCGCTACCGCACCGCTTCCGCGGCGATGTTCAAGAAATTTTGTTAACTTTGGACTTTATAATGTGTTCGAACAGGAATAGCTCCTAGTAGTCGGTTGAATTTGTTGAGTCTTGCCACATAGTGAATATGAATACCGAGGCCGCTTGAAAATTCGTGAGTTTTAAAAACTTCTCCGTAAAAAATGACCGCTGCTGCGACGGTATTTAAAAATTCTCTCCGTGCCGCCACCGCCATCGCGATCGCATTAGCGCCACCATAGAAACCTTTGATTTGCGCAGCTCTCTTGTAAAGTGATATTCGACCAAGGGGGAAAAAGCGAGACTTCATCATACTTCACTTGTATTTCACTTTTATTTCACTCGAATTTCACTGTACATCAAGTACAATTTTGAAGTACGAGTGAAGTACGAGTGAAGTATGGTGAAGTACGTGAAATACAGAAGTCGCGCTTTTCCCCCCTTATATGCGACGCGTTTTGAAGCTGTTTTATAGCTCACAGGAGGATTTGCTTTGAGTTTTTGTCTGATTACTAAGAGTTCATTTCTCTGACGGATTTGTTTTTTTATGATGATAATCATAAAAAAAGGCTTGTTTACCAGCTTCGAGTAGTGCTATTCGCACATGGTGGTCTTTCATTTTCTTTTAATTTTCTCCTCTTATCTTTCATTGTAACACTGATAGCTACTAATTTGAAGAAAAAGTGCACTGCAAAAAAAAATGAAATTCGTATGCAGTAAGCTTAAGTGGCTGTTCTGCACATCATCCTTAACAGTATTCTATCTTAGATAAGATAAGGAGAAGTGGAAGGAGAAAAATATTATTCTTTTATTACCTTGTTCTTTACACGCACTTGTTCTATTTGTGCAAATTGTTTGAAGCTGACGATGGAAGGCGACATTACTGGAGATATCTATTATTTTAGTGAACCGGTTGATGGTTCTCCTCCATGGGTTGATGTGAGTCCTACGTTGGGCTGCGCAAGGACAAATTTCACAGGAACACCAACTCGTGTCACAATTCATGATTTGCGGGGTAAGGAGAATTCCGTCAATATCGATACTCATGGCTTTGAAATAATGAAATATGATGGCAATATACACAATGAATTTGACAGCGGTAGCGAGATGCAACAACTTTACTATGATGAGATTAGTGCTCTGCTCAAAAAACGTCTCGGTGCCTCCCGTGTGATTATCTTCAATCATATATTCCGATTTCGAGCAATCCCGCGTGCTGTCGATCAATGTGATCAGAATCACAAGAATCCTATTTTCTATGCGCATGTTGATAATGATCCGCCGGCAGTTCGTTTTAAAATAGAACAAGTACTCGATGCAGAAGAAGCCAAAACAGTGATGCAGAAACGCTTTCAACTTATCAATGTTTGGCGACCGGTGGGTCCCAATCCAATCATAAACACTCCTTTGACCCTTTGCGACTATCAATCATTAGATATCGACAACGATATTCATATTGCAGAAGCTCGCGGATCTCAAAGTAGTGTTTCAGTCTATGCCATCTCGCGCAACGCTCAAGATGCCCACAGGTGGTACTATCTAAGCCATATGCGATCAAACGAATTGTTTATCTTCAAAATCTTCGAGAGTGATTCCGGTGTTGCGCAATATGGTGCTCATACAGGTTTTATCAATGAGCATGAGTCTCCAACAGATAGCGAACAAAAAAGTGTTGAAGCACGTTGTCTTGTCTTTTATGATTAATAATAAATAAATTGTTTGCGAATCAAAAATACTCAATATCACTTACTCATCTTTAGACTTGGTTAATAGAATTCGAAGCCGCCCACTATGTTATTTTCAGTGATTGGACCGTAGTTTTTATTGAGGGAATTCACTCACAACTCGGGATCACTGTATTGCTTGTCGGATGTGACATTTTTTTTCTCTTCTACGAGATAAGAAAACAAGAAAACTGTTACTTGCTCGTTTTCAAGCGAAATCAGTGCGAATGTGAACCTGGGCTCAGTTAGCGTATGGTGGATGTGGATTTTGTGTGTGGGGTGTGGGTGTGGTTGTGGAGGGGTGGGTTTGTGTCACCTGTCACTCAACCCACACCCACACCCCGAATGCACCAAAACAAGCACAGTCACGGACACAACCATTAAAACGAGGAGGTCGACGTCTTTATACAGTGAAACGCGATTAACATCTTGTTGATCAACTCGAAGATTATTTGAATTCAACAAATAAAAAATAATGCATACATTAAATCTATATTTGTTTTTTAATATAGTTGTTTCGAACGAATATAGTAAGCACCAGAGACAAAAGAATTGTATTCGAAATATAAAATATAACTCTGATCAAAAACATTTTACAATAACGAAAATATACGGAGTAGTAGTAACGCTGGTCTGTCAGAGCAACAGTTTCCATATTAACAATTGAAAGAAACAAACGGTCTAGTATAAGTCATACATGACTTGCATAGTAATTATTATTTGCTGAGTGTACTATTCTAATTTCAATATTCAATGAAACGAAGCAGATCTATGTGTAAAGATAATATGCAAAATATTTCTTTTGTTATTTCAGAATGCGTATTGACTTAGCCAGAATTTTAATGCTGATCGAAAAACTTAAGTCAAAACCTCTGTGCTGTGATCTAGTACTTCTGTTCTTGATCGAATTAATTCTAGTTGAACATTGTCGTTCAATTAATCGCAATTTAGAGAAGCGAGTACTAAAAAGAACATGGATTCATTCGCAGCATATAAAATATGTGCTTAAATGGATTTCGTCATTTAGAATCAATTCGTTTCTGTGAGTCATACTTTGTATCTAAGAGGTTTCATTACTGTTTTCTTTTTGTAATTGGCATTAGATCTGTCTTTAGACTAATGTTACGCTTAGTGACGAACAGCAATGTCTATTTAGTTTCGAGAACGATACTGATTAGATTGCTTGGGTTTAATCATTGGCAAGTTTTATTCTGAAAAACGTCCAATTAATATTATAATATCGTGCAATCATCAAAATCTCCTGCTTTATGGGGGTAGATAAAGTGGTCGCCGACACCCACTCACATTCACATCCCACACCCTGCCACTTCACTAATTGATGTGATTAGGAAAAATATTTATCTCGTAATGTTTTAGAAATTTCAAATCCAATTGTTCGTCAAAGCAATGCACATTATTAGGTCTCCGAAGACATCGTTGGGGGTATTTTCGTATCTTTTGGTTCCTATATAAAACAATGAAGACTATTTGATTGGAAGAAGCATCCCGAAAGCATACCTCCTGCACGACAGCGACTTCGTCGTAAACAACACATTTGAACCGCTTTTGCCGTTGTTTTTCCCAACAGTCAAATCTGCATACATCACTCATTCGAATAATTAATTTAGAATCGATTTCATGTGGTTTCAAAGGATGCGTGAGATAGGACACCAGAACACCAACAATCAACACAGTACCAACAGCAATCAGTGTATACCACATATAACTCACTGAATAAAGACCAAGCAGTGGATTAGGTCTAAAAACAAGACAAAAATCAATGGGTGATACTTCAGAAACAAAACTAAGATATAAATAAAACATTTAAATGCAGTGACAATCTATTAAGTTCTTTTGTTATTGAAATGAAAACATAGCCAGAGAATTCTGAAAGTATTCAGATTTATTTTGTATTCAACTGTTGAACTAAGCAGTGTCGAATAAAAGTTACAAAAACAGATTAACTGAAAGAAATTCTTCAGTGTTAGCAAGGATCAAAGAAAGAAGTCAAAATTTGACAAGCTCACCGAAATTATCTAAATTAGCCCAGTGGACATTGAAATTAAATGTTCACTTACTTGATACGTGTGACTACTGTTGTTGTACTCGTGATTACTAGTGCCGATCCATTGTAATTTGTGCAATTGGCTACTGATAATGGCAATCGACCACTGCTCCTCTGATTTTTCGTTAATTGGGCGCCAAAGAAGATCCAGAGTTGCGACACTAAACCTGCGCAAAATCCAGCCATCGCTCCTCGTCGATTGGCTTGTGGGAAAAAAAATCCAAGAAAGAATACACCTATGATGGGTCCACAAAGGGCACCAGACATTGATATTACTGCATTGATTACCGAGCCCAAATAACTCACGACATAGGTAAGAAGCATCACCAATACAGCAACAATGACTGAAAGTATTTTCGATAGGATGCCTTGCCGCTCATCGCTTAACTGTTCTTTTATGAGTGCCTTGTAGACATCTTCAATAATAACTGCTGCTAGACTATTGATCCCAGATGAAATGGTGGAGAGCGAGCCCGAGAATACACAAGCAAGAAATAAGCCTGGTATGCCCTTCTTATTGCTCAGTGTGTCCATAATGAAGTATGGAAAGATTTGATCAACATTTTGAACACGACCAGCCGTGTATGGATCACAGTCGACATAGTAGGCATAGAGAATGATACCTATAAAACCCGTGAGAAGAAAGAGACTAGCAACACCAATGATATTGATCAAAAGAGCTGTTTGTGCCCCTCGAGTTGATCGAACACACATATATCGTTGTACTTGTACTTGATTGAAACAATAGAACAATAATGCATAAAGAGAGTTACCAATCAAAATTGACCAAATTGTGTGACGCGTTCGAGGATCCAAACTTACACTAAATTGATGAGAGCATTCAGAATTTCTATCAGTATAAAATGAATAACGATAAACTCACTTATCAAATTCTATACGACCACCTTGAGAAGCAATCGAAAATGCTCGTTTAACGCCGCCAACTAAGCTCAAACCTAATAGAATAGATGGAATCAAATGTCTTTCATTCAGCTTTCGAATACATTCTACGGGTTTGAGTAGTTCTCAGTCGGCAAGTATAAGCCTATTCAGAACGATTAAACAAGTAGTAGATTGAAGAATAACGACACTATTTATTACTTTGCAATAAAATCCAAAGTTCAATGACTTTTACTCATTGAAAGATCACACCAAGACTTTCTCAATTTTTTTTCTCTTTGGCTACAAATCACAACTCAGTTAGGATTATTAGATGCATGAACCTACCTTGATTAATGGCAACGAAAATGCCAGCATAGATTACCAACGCTTGCAAAACATCGGTCCAAATAATTGCCTTCAGTCCACCCTAAACATGTCGACGCGTATTGGATTGTTTTTTCCTGACAAGGATCAAATTTAAGTACATACCACGGCGGAGTAGAAAGTACAAACGACACCAATAGAAACGACTGAAATCCATTTGTTCAATCCCGTCGCTAGATTTAGATTTCAAAAAAAGTATCATATACTTTTTTTTGCGTCTGTCACACAAAACTGAGATTTAGGCAAAGTTAAATAGTATTTTTAATAGATTCAAAAATTTAAAATAATCGAAAAAGATGAGTACAAAATAGCTATTCGAGATATCTACATTAAGTGATGCTCAACTAGAATTAAAGTTTAGGCAAATCCATGAAGTTATAGAATACATGCTACTTTCTTTATGCAAACCAAAATTAGAATCTATCTTTAAATAAACGAAAATAAATTCTTAGTTTTGATCCTGATTAAAAATAAATTCTACCTGAGTTTAATTTTGCCTAAATCTTAATTTTTTCTTTGTCATATACTTTGACTTAGTGCCAATGATGGCATATAGAGTACCAGAGCCATATATAAAAGCTATAGAAATGATGAAATGGAAGGTATCCGCACAAGCAAATCTTACTGCACCATGTATACGGAGTAGGTGATGGAAACGCACATACGTACTGATCGATCGAAACGCTTCTCTAAATACTAACAGATGCCTAATTCTTCTTCTTTCTGTCACATTTAGAAGTATCACACCTCATAAATACTCGTAAGATTCATTTCTCGAAATTTCGGCACGAAAATGAAAGCCGTCACCATCGATGCGATGCTCCACGAAGCAGCTACAAACAGAAAGACACGGTGATGATGAAGAACATTATGACAATTTTATTTTTCTCACCTTGATACAAAAACATTGTTCCATACATGTACACCTCGCTCGGAGTACCCAGTAGAGTAATGGCAGAAACAAAGGAGACCGTAACACTCAACGCCGCAGGAAGCACATGCATATCACCATTAGCTGAAGTAAAAGAGAATGTTGATCATTTCATAATGATGTTACGTACCTAAAAGATATTCTTTGGCTGATGCCTTCTTGGATTTGACGAAACCAAATATGCCACCGATGGTGGCCGAGAACAAAAGTAATATCACCAAGATAACATAGTCGATGGCGCTCAACGTCGGTAATATCATTTTCTCACAAGACAACAGTATGTGAATGAAAACAAATATAACCTTCCTTCTCTAGAAACAAGATTAGGACGATAAGGGTATGAATGTGAAGTGTGGGTGTGGAGAAGAAGAATAGCCATAGCGATACCTACACTGGCACTCGCCTACATCTTAATTATAACCGCTAAATTAAGATCCGCTGATTCTGATATTTTGCACACTGATCGATGAAAACTGTGAAAATGGGATGTAATAGTTATGGCTGATTTGTGAGTCATTGCTTTCTCTATGTTAGGAACTAAGTAAACATGAGAAACTTTAAAGCAGCACCACTAATGATCTAGTTTTATCAATAATAACTTCTATGTTTCTTGATGTTTTCGTTTAATTTATGAAACAATTTTTACATTTTCTTTTAATAAAATTTGGCAATAGAGAACCTTCTGGTAAAAACCTTAGTTCAGGCCAGTACAAGAAGA